TCTCTGTTTTCTTAACTGAATGGAATAGGGATAGCATGTGGCTCATCAAGTCTTTAGCTGTATGTGACTATAGATATACATATGTGAGTGCCAGTTCTAAGTAAAACACTGGCTAAAAAAATGCATTGAATAGTTTAATTAGGATGGGTTTGAGCTTCAGCCTGATTCAGAGATGATGGTTTTTTTAGCTCAGACTGCTCCATTAAATCGAATATCTTCAAATTTTTAAAATATTTTGCTTTGCTTCTTTAGGGTAAATGACGCAGTGTCTCTTGCAATAGCTTAATTTATGTAAAAAGGAGTCTTGTTTCTAAGCTGAAAGCATGGTGGATAAGTTCTGTCTGCTAAGCAGTAATAGCATCTCATCAGCCTGGACTGTGCTTTTAAAAAGGTTGGTCTTGTCTTCAGTCTTCTGGACTTTGGCTAAAAGAAAGATAAATCAAAGTTTTCCTGGTTGTCTGTTACTTTGGTGTCATCTTCCAGTGGCAACAAACTTAAATTGCCTTAACTAGGATATATGTGTAATTTTCCTTATGTAATATATCTGTACAATTATATCTTTGAAAAGGTTGATCATAACCTTCTTCAAAATTTATAACCAGTTTTTAAATTTAATTGCTGTTATCTGTGAAGGGACTTCTTGAAGAGATGTTTTACATTTAGTATGTTAAATAACCTGTTGAACATAGTAAATGCATGCCCTCCGATAAGCTGCTTCAGAAGATGTAACTTGGTGCAGCAGGATCTCCGTAATGAGCATGCCATAAACTCCTTTAAGAGCCCCTTATCTGACATCTGCAATCTGGTGATTGGTACTGGGACCCAAAATCCATCTTCTAGCTGGAACCAGCTGAATACTTTCAGTCCCAGTTTCTCCTTAGTTTTAAACTCGGACTTCTTTCATGCACTTCAGTTTGTTACATGTAAGGGTGAAAAACATCAACCTGCAAATAGACATGGTCAGTCTGGTGTAGCTATTCTTCTCTTTCTGTGTAGCATCCAGCACAACCTAATGTTATCTGCAAACAGGGATACAAAATGCCTACTCTGAATGTATCACAACCTTAAAAGCAAGGAAGAAATAAGATGCAAGTGATTGAGTAAGAGAATGTTCAACACTGATCTGGTTAGTTCCTTATTTCCCCTTCTCTCCCAAGAGTCAGTCTACAATGTTAATTGTTGAGTTGAACTACTGAGTTGTTGGTTTAACAGCTCTCTTTCAATTCATATACTGCCAGATAGGTCCCACTATTTGTGATGAATCACTGGTATGTCCCTTTTCCTCCTATGGACAGCCAATGACACACAAATGATATAGGGAGCAGTCGAGACACCTCTGAGGAAACCAAAATCAACCAAGGCTTTCAGAGTACGGTAGCAAATGATCTCAGTGACCAACTCCTTACTATAGTCTTAAAGGGCATGTAATGCATATGTGCTTGAAAAATATCTTAACACTCACATAGAGAAGAGGTAGTGCCATAATTGAAGGTGCCTTGGGTGAAAGTTTGATTTTATCACTTCCGCTTGCAAAGTCAAGGGAATGGATCATCTTCGTATACCCCACATAAATCTAGCTTCAGGTCATCCTCAGCGAAAGTAATGGGAAGTGAATTGCCAGTGCCCTTTCATAACTGCAAATCCTTAATTAAGGAAGGGTACAAGGAGGCACCTAAAATGCCAACCTCAGCAAGTAGCAGACTCCACTACTTGCGAGAATAAATTATAACTTGTCAGAATAAAATTGTTTTTTTCATTAATGTGGTTGGTAGTATTCAGAGACTTAAAGGGCATTGTTCTAGAGTGGAACATTATCTTACTCCTTAAAACTGTGTGTGAGGTGCAAAAACTTTGAAGATGGTGACTGGCTTACTGGGTGTTGTGGTTTAACCCAGCAGATAGGTAAGCACCATGCAGCTGCTTGCTCACTGCTCACCTCTCTGGTAGAGTGGGGGAGAGAATCAGAGGAGAGAGGTAAGAACACTTGTGGGTTGAGATAAGAACAGTTTAATTACTAAAATAAACCAAACTAAAATAATAATAACACTAATGAATTATAATAAAAAATAGGAGCAACAATAATAAAACGATCAAAGTTATACACAGTTGCAGTCGCTGGCCATGTACCATCAAAAGTGCGACAGTCAAAGATAGGGGAGTGGCCAGCCTTGGGAACCGAATGACAGGCGAGACCCTCCAAGGACAACGGCCATCGAGGGAAGAGAACCGTTCCCAGCAAGCTCCCCAATTTATAGTGAGTGTGACATATATGGGATAGAATATTTTCTGTTGGCCAGTTTGGATCACCTGTTCTGGCTACATCCCCGCCCAGCTTTGGACCTCGCCTGTTACTATGGCAGTTTATTGAGCAAAAGCTCAAATGGATTTTAAATAGAGAAAAAGGGCCTAAAGAATATTTCTGAGTATCTCAACTGTTGCTGAATACCAACTTACTGTGATGTTTTTGTGAGTTTACTTTTAATTAGCAAGAACTTAGAGTGAATAGGAAATAGTGTTTGCATACATATTTTTAAGCATTTTTCTAGAAAGGGCTCTTATGTTTGCTTCCTTTCTATTTTTTTTCAACTTCTACAGTTTATAACTAGTTCTTGAAGCCCAGAGTACTGTTTTGTTGCCACCAAAGCTTTTGCCACTTCTGCTTCACTTCCAAAATAGGACTTTTTCACAAAAAACCAAAATGTTGTCTTGCGTAAGAACGAAATCGGACCTTGAAGGGGGAAAGATTTGCATCCTGATTCTCTACTATACCATGCATATCATTTACACTTGTCTAGATAAATGTGGAAAAAAGGCAGCTACTTTGTTTTTTGTACAGACTAAAACCAGGTATATATTAGGTATTTCAGGAACAGTAGATGTGACAATAAAGCTTATCAAAAGCAGGTCATGGAGAACTGAGTATAAATATCTTTATGATAGCCTTTATTCCATTATATATTGTTCTATTTTTCATAAAGGCATTCAGAACAGAATTCAAACAGACTCTTTTCCCTTTAAAGCAGCAATTCTTAAATGAAAAAATAACAGTATTCATATTTCTGCTGGTTTAGGGGTTTTTTTGGTCTATATCTAAAGTCTGTAGTTTCTGTCTGTTTACCACATGGAGCTAATTTTAAGGTGTTTGGTTTCTTTTATTGATATGCTAAGCAAAATTTTTACATTAAACTGCGTAACTGTCTTTGCTTACAGTTCCATATAAAATAATTAAAACATGAAATCACTGAAACAGTCTCCCCAAAGAGGTAATTAATTTTAAAGGGAAACCAATAAATATAGATTGATTCCAGTTAATTACACCTCTCCTTCAGAACACAGAATGCTGGAGAAAGCCTTGAGCACGTGGTGTTCTTGCTGCTTATATTTATAAATGTCTTAGTCTACATTCATAAGGCCTTTAGCGGTTTCCTTCCACCACCACTCTTTTGGGCTTTTCATAGTGTAATTTTCGTATTTGTAACCTTGTGTCCACAGTGATGATAATCTTTCTTCACGTTCAAGAATTCAAAACCGTGAAGGCCAAACAAAATTTTGCCCCTCAAGGTTAGGTGTGGGGCCAGGCTACTGTCACTACAGGAAAGAAAGTAGGAAGGAGGAGGGTTGGACTCCAGAGAAGAGAACATACCTTGGCACGATGAGGGAGGAAGAGGCAGGCTTGCTCTTACAGCTGTTCCTGGGAGGACGCAGGGCAAAAATAAAGACTGCTGCTGCTTCAGTGCAGCGCGTTGTCCTCTGGCTTCCTTCCTCACCAGGAGCTGGCTTTTGGCGCAGCACAAAAATCAAATCTGCTTTTCTAGCAAATATACAAGTATACATGAGGGAGTGAAAATCAGGGTCTCTTTTTGTGGAGTGCTGGCTCTCCCAGCACGGCCATGATCTTGTCGATGTGATCAACCCAGCGTACGAGTAAGGGTCACCTACAACTTTAAGGAAGATAAGAGCCGGACTTTCTAACCGCAAGTAGGTGTACCGTCCATACGTCAGGACGCATGGACAGCAACCAATTAGCTATATGTATTCGCTGCGTGCTTTGCTCGTGACTATCTCGTGACTAAAACCGAGATTATAAAAGCTGTGTAACTGTGCTTAATAAAGGAGAATGACCATACTCATATTGAGAATACCTCGTTACTCCGGGAAGTCCTACTCCCACTCCCAACATCTTTTGCCCCCAACGATTTCTTGCACATCTGCACTGGCCCTGATCCTTGTGGCTGTGCTCAGAAAGCTTTGACTCTTGCTTGCTCTTTGTCTTCTTTGGCAGATGATGACTTTTAACTGAAGGGGATTTTTTAAAATTCTAGTATATCTCCTCATGAGTTGCACTATTAAGCTTGTTGTTTCTGTGCAAAAATGGTAGTATTCTGAGACTTTGACTAGTAAAATATTTACACAATAAAAATGGCTTGTTGGAGGTCAGTATAATACCATACCACTGTATCAGGTTTTGAAGGAAGTCTTTTTGCTTGTAGTGCCAACTAGCCTGGAGAGTTACTTTCATGACACTGAAGATCACAGAAGGAGCTTGGGGGTTGTTCTCGCAATGCGTATCTATGAACATTAATAGTCTTAGAGTAAATCAGAACCTATTCTCTGCTGTTGGTTTTTAGTAGTTTTATCCAAGCCCTAAAAAATATATGTAATACTCCTTCATTCTGCATGTAATTCACAGCCTAAAAAGCCCTAGATCATAACCAGCTGCTCAGTTTTTAGGCTTAGCTCTAAGAAATTTCCAGTGTTGCTGTGACTACTTGTGTTTTCCAAGCTCTCTTCCCACTGCAAAAGTCTGCAGGTATCATTCAGCCCCATTTACAACATAGCTTTTTTTTTTTCTCCTTGACAGAAACAGCTTCATTAAGTGCACCAATGCTGTGAAATACTTTGGATTTTTTATTACTAAATCTATTCAGTCTTTTTTGCAGATGTGTTAACTATGCTATGTTAACTATATGTTAACTAAGTCATTTGCACTTTTTTTGTAGGAGTTCTCTGGAATCTGTCCTCCTGTGATGCACTGAAAATGCCAATCATCCAGGATGCCCTCGCAGTGTTGACCAATGCAGTGATCATCCCTCACTCTGGATGGGAAAACTCTCCGCTGCAAGATGATCATAAAATACAACTCCATTCATCACAGGTGCTGCGCAATGCCACTGGGTGCCTAAGGTGAGTAATGCAAAGCACTTGCTTTGCCTTCATCATCTTGCTTGAATTGTTATTTCTCATTCTTAGGCATTTGTAAAGTAAATAATTGGTTTGCATGTCAGCAAAGACGATGACTTTCAGTGCTGTACACTTGAAATGGGAAATTAATTAGAAAACAAGCTTCAGGCCATTCAAAAACAATCTCTGGAAGCGCTACTGTGGGTTTTCCTCTTTTATTTTCTTAACAGCTTTGACCGATCTTCTCACCCAAGCTTGTATATTACAGATGTTTTTCTCCTTGTACATTTGTCCCATTTCCCCAGTTCCTTAAGCAAAGTCAATATGTTCTCACTATTACACCCAGTTTAATCAGCACAAAAAATAATAAAGATGTTCAAAAAAAGTAAAATGCCTTACGGGTTCCAGATGCCATTGCTGGAGTTATGATAAATACGTAAAATAGATTTTTTTCTGCTCTGTGAAGATGAGAAATGGATTTTGATAAGAGACCAACCAATTTATCGTTGTGCAACTAGAATACTTAAATAGATCCTTAACAAGTATGGTATGTGTTTATATTTGTATGCCAAACTTGTATATGAAACACCAAAATGCACTTACATGAATATATGCAACATGATCTGTCCATTCCTAAAAATCACTGTAGATGTGAGAAAGAAAATAGAATGAGTAAGAAGAATTTCAGTTCTGAAAAAGCCTTACAAAAGGACTGAGTCATAACAATTGCTGAATTCCAGTGCATATGATTTTGTTGAAATACTGTAACATATTAGGCAAGTTCTTCTAAGCATTTTGGCTTGGATTTTTTGATCCCTTCTGTATTGGAGATTCTGTAATCTATCTCAGAGACATGAAAATCAATCAGTTAATATTTTTACATACATTGCAGGAAAATGGTAAGGTGAATATTGTGTATCAGTAATGCAATCTTTGCTGTATTCTGCATCCAAAGGAGATATCCATCAAAGAGCTAAATTAAAAAAAATCCTGATTGGGAGGCAAAGTAAAATAGGGTTTTACATCTCTGTAGCAAGCACATTTTCTCTTCATGCTGTTTCGTCAAATGAAATGTCTCCCTTTCAGAAGTAATATTTGCAAAGTTTAAGGGAAAAAGTAGTAATTATTATTGATTATTTATATGTAATCAGAAGAGAATGAAATCTAGAAGGTGATAGCATCCATATTGCAAATACACTTTTATTGGATTTAAATGCAGACATGTATATGTGAATACCAACTATGTTGGGATATGTGATTGAAGCTCGATATTCATACCTGAATTGTATTGCTTTTGAAAAGCGTTTGGTGGTACAATTGTGTTGCTTTTCATTCAAATTATTTGAAAAACTACTTAATCACTGTGACAGAGGTCATTCCATAAAGATGTGCACCATGTTGTACTTCTCACACTTCCAGTGTTTATCCTGTCTCAGTTAAAGAGCTGCCTCCAAAAGAAGTGTCCATTATAAATCTGGGCTTCACAGTTCCCCTTCTCTGAACAGGCATGTCCAGTGTTGGTCTTCCCACATCATAAGCTCTGTCTTCCTGTTAATTTTTCCCAGCTGCTTCTCAGGGACTGATGTCCATCCCTGACCCTGCAAACCTCAGTTCATCCTACCTCATAGTTGATGGATTCGTTCCACCTTGGTCCTGAAATCTTTCTTGTTTTTTGTTTTTTTTTTTGTGAATGTATGTGCACGCCCATTTGCAAACTGATGTGAGCTTACTGTAGCCTGCACTCTGGGTCAGCCTGAGGACTTGTGGCCACATGAGAATGGTACGTTGCCTGATCTAATACACACTGCTTCGCAGCAAGGCTTACTCCCAAGTGCTTGATGGTACGCTGTCACAGCAGAATGGCTCCTGCTCAGCTCATGCAAAATATGCTCATGTCTGCCTGCAAAAGACTGTGCATATTATATCTCTTCAATCCTTCCCAGGTAGCTGTCACAGTAGCTCAAATGGCTGTCCTCAGCAGGTTGGTCTTTCCTCTAAATCCAGGTCCTTCAACCATAGTATGGCTTTTTAATATCTTTCTGATATCAAACCCTCTCTATTTCCCAGTTGCATCTTTCTGTCCTCTCTAACAGCATCAGATATTTATTTGGCCCTCATCCATCTTCTTTAGATAATTTCATCCCACTTAGTCTGCGCGGATGCTCTTTGACAGAGCCAGAATATTTGGAGAAGGTTGAACTTACTTTTGCTTCACACCAGCGGAAACTTTCTTGTTTACATTTCCTCAGTTGCTTTTGAAATGTCTTGTTCTGAACAAAATGAAACAAGTTTGAGTTTGTGCAAGGGAAAAAAGCATAAGTTGACCTCTGAAATGGTAGCTGGATTCTTCTGTTGAATTCATGTAAGATAATGGGGTTGTAGGCTGGAGGAAACAGCGACTGTCAGAAAGAAGATTAGAAAGCTTTGTGGAAGTGATTGGGGTAGCACGTGCTCTGCACAGGGAGTACCTTAGTTAGCATTCCTTAACTGTATATAAACCAACCCCAATAAGCTGAACGGCTCTCATACTTTCCACTTGTGAGTAGTTACAAGCCCCCTGTTTCCATTTCAAGATCTTACTGGGCAAGGGAGATAATGTAAATCAAGAAGATGTTATGTGGTTGTGGCAGAGATAGTGCTGTGTTTATCTGGTAAATGGAAAGTCCACAGTCATCTTCAATGGGAGGTTTTATTCTACGTCTCTGCTTTGGTTGTCCTCTGCTGTGTTTCTTTTTCTCCTTTTGCTATAGCTGGTTTTTGAAGGGACACTGGTTAAAATTCAGTTGCATTGGGGTTATCAATGGCGATGCTCAGTATCATAGGAAAAGTAGCGGTGTTCAGAATACTTGACAAATGTTTCTGAATCTGGAATGTTGACAGATTTTTAGAGACATCAGGTTTTGTTACATAACGTTTAATGCTAGCAAATACGGTGGGATGAATTGGCGTTTTTTTCAGTATTCTCTGCCTTTGGTTTTCTGATGCATTCAGTGCTGAAAACTTTACATAATATCTGAGAGGTGCTGTATTATAATCCTTCCCATGTACAATGCTAATAGTTTGCAATGGCCGTTATATAGGAATAGTCAGATTTTTGTTTTATGGGGTTTTTTACTACAGTGTATGGGTTATAATTCTGTCTGCTAGTCTTCCCTTTTCTCAGGTTCTTGATTAGAGTTTCTTATGCTTTTTCAGTTAAAGAATTGCGTATTAACTAGAGTTTTTTAATACTCTTATCTGCTTATTCATTGTCATTCTTAACCAAGTTCTTAAGTCTACAACTCCAGTTACACAGTAATCCAGCTGAAATCAGTATGAAATCATACGAAAGACAGCAGCATCAGACTTTCTTTTCCTGTTATTTCCTTTTTTCCCTAAAGATGTTATTTACAAACTGCACTTTGCATATTTTTGTGATTTCAAAAAAGAAAATAGCTTTGATACAATATTGCACTATTTAATTTTACGTAACTTGAATACTTTGAAATTGTTTAGATAATTCAAAGCTCTAACTACAGTGTTATACCTGTCACTTATAAATTTTATCTTAATATTCATCTTTCATAAATTGCCAGACGTCAGTGTGGCATGTGTTAAAGTAATCACCCAATTTACTTAGCTCCCCACTGAGATACTAGTACCTTACCTCATTAAGCTCTGTGTAAGTTTGACTTCTTTTTTTTTTCCTTTTGGATTTAAGCTGTGACTGTTTTATTTGTGTTAGGGAAAACAGTATCTTTGGTTTATAGGTTCTTATTCATTTAGGTTTATTAGGGAAAGTCAGGTGAAAACTGAATTTGGAATCCTAGTTGCTCATAGTGTGTGTTTTACAATCCCTAATTTGAAATTTAAAAATCAACAGGAGGCACATTGGACAATGCTTAACCTGAAGCATCAAGATTACTGTGGTGGGTTGACCCAGGTGCCCACCGTAGCCATTCTGTCACTTCCTCACCTCAGCTGGACAGGGGAGAGGAAATACAATGAAAGGCTCATGGGTCGAGATAAGAACAGGGAGATCACTCAGTAGTTATCATCATGGGCAAAACAGACTCAACTCAGGGAAGTTAATGTAATTTATTGCCAATCAAATCAGAGTAAGGTAATGAGAAATAAAACAAAATATTCAAACACCTTCACCCCTCCCTTCTTCCAGGGCTTAACTTCACTCTCAATTTTCTCTACCTCAGAGGTGCAGGGGGGGATGGGAAATGGGGGTTGCAGTCAGTTCATCACACATAGTCTCTGCCACTCCTTCCTCCTCACACTCTTCCTCTGCTCCACTGTGGGGTCCCTCCCATGAGAGGCAGTCTTGCACAAACTTTCCAACGTGAGCCCTTCCCATTGACTGCAGTTCTTCGTTAACTGCTCTAGGGTGGGTCCTTCCACAGGGTGCAGTCCTTCAGGAACAGACTACTCCAGCGTGGGTCCCCTGCAGGGTCACAAGTCTGGCCAGCAAACCTGCTCCAGCATGGTCTCCTCTCCCCAGGGGTCCACAGATCCTGCCAGGAGCCTGGTCCAGTTCAGGCTTCCCATGGAGTCACAGCTTCCTTTGGGCACATCCACCTGCTGTGGCATGAGATCCTCCATGGGCTGCAGGGGGACAGCTGCCTCACCATGGTCTTCACCATGGGTGGCAAGGAAATCTCTGCTTCAGCGCCTGGAGTACCTCCTCCCCCTCCTTCTTCACTGACCTTGGTGTCTGCAGAGTTGTTTCTCATCTCACTCCTCTCTCCACTGCTGTTTTCATGGCAGTTTTTACCTACTCCTTAAATATGTTATCACAGAGGTGCAACCACTGTCATAGGCTCAGATACGGCCAGCAGTGGGTCCATCTTGGAGCAGCCTGGCATTGGCCATATCAGATACAGGGGAAGCTTCTAGCAGCTTCTCACAGAAGTCATCCCTACCCGCCCCCTGCTACCTTGCCATGCAAACCCAATACATTTATAACAGAACTAGATCTCTGTCCAAAGACTATCTGAAAAAAAATAACAGGCAAA